CCCTGGTCCAAACAGATGTGGTCACTAGTCCGACCTGCAAGCTTCACGTTCAGGGTCTGACAGGTTCTGTGGGTACTTCACACAGTTTCCCACTTTCTGGACTAGAAAGTTCTGAGGGGGTCTCCTCCTCCCACCTCTGCTTCTGGATCTTCTTGTCCCTCTCTCTTCCCTTCCTCGGTCAGGACAGTCCTTCTTTCTGTCTCCTGTTTCTATCTTGTCTTCTTCCTCTGTGTTTTCTCTACATTTCTGTCTTTGAGGTGTGTCCTGGTTGCCATTCTTTGGATTTATTCTGGTTTGTCCCCTCTGTCTGTCCCTTTGTCTCTGTTCTGTGTGACTCTCTGGGGTTGCTATCTCCCTAGGCCTCTGCCTGTATCTCAGTTCCTCCCTCCCCTCCCACCCACCCCAGATCTCTCCTAGAACCCCAAATGGGAAAAGAAACTTGCAGGCCCCTCCCTGGACATTCAGATCTCACCTTCTCTAGACTCACAGGGAGGACGTGACTCTCTGGGAGGCTGGGCTGGGGCTCCTGGAGCAGCTGAGTAACCAGGGTGGCGGGGGGTGGCCCTGCAGCGCCGGATCCAGGTCTTGGAGGAGCAGCTCAAGTCTCTGGGGGAGCAGATGGTGGCTGAGAGCCGGGGGCTCAGCCAGGAGAAGGAGGAGACCCGTCGGGCACTGGCCCAGGTGAGTTTCCCTGGAGACCTGTCCCAGGTACTCCCTTCCCTCAGGTGTCCCACCATCTCCCTGGATCATGCCTCCTGGCTATGGGGATGGCCCATTTTGGCTTCACCGTGTGGTAAGCCCTGATGTCCTCCCCAGGAACAGAACCGATTCCTCGAGCTTAACCGCCTTCAGGAAACACCTGGTGGGGACTTCTCTGAGCCCAACCAAGCTCTCACAAAGGTATGGCGACTTTACATGCCTGTCAGGCTCCCCACCTCAGACCTAGGAATCCAGGCCCAGCCCTCCTCCCTGAGACCCAGGGGTCCGGGCCCAGCCTCCTCACTCAGACCCAAGGATCCAGGCCTCAGCCCTTCTCCCTCAGACCCAAGGATCCAGGCCTCAGCCCTCCTCCCTCAGATCTGGGGATCCAGGCCTCAGCCCTTCTCCCTCAGACCCAAGGATCCAGGCTCAGCCCTCCTCCCTCAGACCCCGTGATTCAGGCTCAGCCCTCTTCCCTCAGACCCGGGGATCTAGGCCTCAGTCCTCCTCCCTCAGACCCAAGGATCCAGGCCTCAGCCTTCCTCTCTCAGACCCAAGGATCCAGGCCTCAGCCCTCCTCTCAAACCCAGGGATTCAGGCCCAATCCTCCTCTCTCAGACCCAAGGATCCAGGCCTCAGCCCTTCTCCCTCAGACATGGGGATCCAGGCCCAGCCCTCCTCCCTCAGACATGGGGCTCCAGGCTAGCCCTCCTCCCTCAGACCCAAGGATCCAGGCCTTAGCCCTCCTCCCTCAGAGCCAGGGATCCAGGCCCAGTTCTCCTCCCTCAGACCTAGGGATCCAGGCCCAGCCCTCTTCCCTCAGACATGGGGGTCCAGGCCTAGCCCTCCTCCCTCAGACCCAGGGATCCAGGCCCAGCCCTCCTCCCTCAGACCCCGTGATTCAGGCTCAGCCCTCTTCCCTCAGACCCGGGGATCTAGGCCTCAGTCTTCCTCCCTCAGACCCAAGGATCCAGGCCTCAGCCTTCCTCTCTCAGACCCAAGGATCCAGGCCTTAGCCCTCCTCCCTCAGAGCCAGGGATCCAGGCCCAGTTCTCCTCCCTCAGACCTGGGGATCCAGGCCTAGCCCTTCTCCCTCAGACCTGGGGATCCAGGCCCAGCCCTCCTCCCTCAGACATGGGGATCCAGGCCTATCCCTCCTCCCTCAGACCCAGAGATCCAGGCCCAGCCCTCCTCCCTCAGACATGGGGATCCAGGCCTCAGCCCTCCTCCTTCAGACATAGGGATCCAGGCCTCAGCCCTCCTCCTTCAGACATGGAGATCCAGGCCTAGCCCTCCTCCCTCAGACCCAGGGATCCAGGCCCAGTCCTCCTCCCTCAGACCTAGGGATCCAGCCCTAGCCTTCCTCCCTCAGACCCAAGGATCGAGGGCTCAGCCCTCCCCCCTCAGACCTGGGGATCCAGGCCTTAGCCCTCCTCCCTCAGACATGGGGGTCCAGGCTTAGCCCTCCTCCCTCAGACATGGAGATCCAGGCCTAGCCCTCCTCCTTCAGACATGGAGATCCAGGCCTAGCCCTCCTCCCTCAGACCTGGGGATCCAGGCC